CTTCAACATGGGAGACGAAAAGGAAGGGGGTAAATGGAAAGAGGGCGCCAAGGACCCGGAGGCGTAGTACAACAAGGTCGAGGACGGGGCGGCATGGTTCATGAGGAAATGGCACGGGCAGGAGGCGGAAGCGTCCGCGAAGCGCCAGCGGGCGAGGCAAGCAGAAGCAGAGAGTACGGCCATCTCAGGACCGACGAGAAAGAGAGCCGGGGAAGCGACGGTGGGGGGGAAAAAACGGCGACCGGACACTACTGTAGAAGCGAGTAGGGCGGCCGAGGCAGCACTTGTGGCGAACTATGTACGTACCCGGCTGATGTTGTTGCGCCCTGTTTCCCTCCCTGCTGTATTCTATACTCCTTAATGTATGTTCTTTTTATTGCCTTCGGCCTCTGTGCTGTGTTTCTTTTTTTTTCATTACCTCCCTGCCTACTCTGCTGTGTTGGGTACCTTGATCTCGCTTTGCTGTTTGTTGCCTTTGTTATTGTACGTCTGTCTGGCTGTTGTCTGCCCATCTGCCGCCTCTTTGTCCTGTTTGCTCCGTTACTCCCATGCCCTGGTGCGTAGTGCCTGGTGCTGGTACGTTACCCTTTGATTTTTTCTTTGGGCGGGTGTGGGAAGCGTCCTCCCTTATTTTATTTATTTATTTATTTATTTTTCTTAATATGACACAACGAGTCCATCTCTATCATAGAAGAGTCAGAGACAGATTAACAATGGAATCATAGCGTCAGAGAAAACTACCTGTGTGTCTACGATTTCCCAGACAGCATATAGGGACATCTCCCCTGTGGGTAACAGGCTCAACAAATCAGTTTGGTAGCTGTCTTGTGTGTCTCATATATGTTATGTTGGGAAGGTGCAGACGAAAGGTGTTGGGTACTGTTGGGTAGTCGGGCGTTTTGTGTGTCGGTCCCTATTAGTTCTAATACATGCAATCTCCATCAGCTTACAAACATATTCTTTTGATCGGTTTCCGAGTGCTCTTTCTCGAACGGTCGGTGCGATACCTGTTCTTTTTCTTGTATCATTTTGTTTTCTTTTTCCGAGTGGTTTGTACCCTATTTTTGTTTTTCCCCGCGGCGTTGTATGTGCCGGGTTTTGAGACCACGGGCTCCACATTTTTTGTGGACTATTGGACTATAGAGCAAACAACAACAACAACAACAACAACAACAACAACAACTAAAAAATATATATATAGACTATACAGCGGCCATTTATTTGTAGCCCACAACAACAAGAAGAGGATGATCAACAAAAAAATAAGAACCCCAGCTTCGTTCGGCCGAAACTAGAGGTTCTTGAGTTCCACACACTACATACACCGGTCGCCCCGGTGGTCTTCTTCTTCTAGTGGGTAGCCTCGCAGCCTGCGAAGGGCCAAGTCAGGGTTCGAGTCCTGACAGTGAGTTTTTTCTCGCTAATTAAATCCTGGTCTCCGTTGGAAGCGATGCGCTGCAAAGCTCGTTGTTCGTAAACTTGATCGACTTTAAGTCGCGAGGGAAGGGATTGATTGCTGTACCCTTCTCGCGATAAAAAAATCTCAGGCAGGAACCGCAGGAGGGGGTCCAACCCCCCCCTCCTATGTGACCCCGGTTGGGTCGTCTTCTAGCTGGTAGAAGAAGTGGAGGATAGGGGCCAGAGGGGCAGACGACAGAGTCCAATGATGAGAGAAAAACAAACAAAAAACAAAAACTAACTACGCGTCCTCCTTTATTATTAATGTTTTTGTTTGTTTTTCTTGGTTTCCGAGGGCTCTCGAACAACGGTCGGTGCGGTAGGTAGCTGTTCTTTTCTTTCTATCATTCATTTTGTTTTCTTTTTCCGGATGGCTTGTACCCTATATTTTTTTTTTGCTTCCCCGCGGCGTCGTTTTTTTTTTTTTCTCCCATCATCGGATTCTTCTTCTGTCGTCTGCCCCTCTGGCCCCTATCCTCCACTTCTACTAGCTAGATGATGACCCAACCGGGGTCACATAGGAGGGGGGGGCTGGACCCCCTCCTGTGATTCCTGCCTGAGGTATTTTTATCGCAGAAGGGTACAGCAATCCCTTCCCTCGCGACTTACGAATTTAAAGGAATGCCCGCCCGACGGTGGCTTGCCTCCTAGATGTAGTAGATGTAGATTCTGCCGTAGACACTCTTGTCCACGAGCACG